ATCATTGTCGCCAACGTGCCAGAGGGTCTCTTGGCTACTGTGACAGTACGTTTTCCCTTACTCGTTCTTCTTTGCAGCCTATCATCACAAAGCCATTAAAGAATATTCGTTATGCATAATCCTTTCTTTGCACACAAGTGCCCTGGACATAGTGAACGTTCGTTACAGTCGAAATTCAAGTAACGTCATGTTTTTCGGTCAACAGTACACTTTAATCAAAAATCCCGTTACCGCATTTTGATAGTAGTATCCACGCCTGTTTAGTCTTATACATGAGATTATTTGCTAAAAGGCGTGGGCTATAAGCAGAATATACTACCTGGACAAGTAGTTCTTAGCCCTTCAACTGGCACCGGTCTTATGAGAATGTTACCGCTTTCTGCAGTTGGTAAAGCATGTCCTACCCAAAGTGTTAGATGCGCAACAAGTCATTCCTAATTCGTATATTTTGGGCTGTACTGTTCTCATTTGTACTCTCTTCTAGGTGTGTTTGACCCTAACTGCGAAGCGAATGGCTAGCAAGAACTGCCTGGTTAAGAACTTGGAAGCCGTCGAGACTTTGGGCTCTACTTCAACCATCTGCTCTGATAAGACGGGTACCTTGACACAAAACAGAATGACTGTTGCTCATATGTGGTTCGATAACCAGATCTTTGAGGCTGATACCTCTGATGAACAGTCAAGTGAGTTTTACTACCTATTTTTCGTACATTTATGTTCCTTGTGTATGCCATTTGACTTTTTTAGTAATGATGCTACCCTACTTGTAAATTAATTCAGTTTTTTAAAGGCATTCTTAGTCCTTTTGTCTAATTCATTAGGCATAGTTTAAAGTTAACTGCTTTTTGTACACCTCTCATTTATCGGAAGACAAACGGTGGTATCAGAGTCCAAAATTTAGGCGATAAAAGTTACTTGGTAATGGTAATAGACATGATTTCATAGATTTTCGACTATATCTCCCTAGGTCGTCCCCAGGCCTACAACAAATATGCAAAATATGTTCAGAGTCTTCACTCCTCATGGTTCCCGCGGATCGTCTTGTATTTTCAGTCTTGTCCATGGACGCGCATTTTGGCGTCAATTAGCATGTAGGTATTTGTAGGCAGAATAGCGTTACCGAAGAAGGCGAGGGAGACAGGAATATCCATTTCTGACTTATTAGACTTCACCAGCCGGCCATACCCAACGCTATGTGTTGCCACATCCAAAGCATGTGTGCCACTGCTCGGCACTTGTGCACTTGAGCTTGCTAGATTTTAGGTCCTCACTCTCTCGGTAGACAACCATTTTCACGGACACTTCCCTCTCTCCTTCGGTCTTGATTGCGTAATAGCGATAGGGGTGGTTTTCAACCACTCTCATTCTATGTCCTTAATGTTATAATCCATTATTCCAATCCACGTTCTTTTCTCTTCCTGCCTTTCTTCCTCTTTTTACTGATCCCAACTAGTAGAGCCAAACCCCAAAACTCGTGGTCTTTTTATTTCCTTTAGCTGCTAATTTCAACAAAGAGTCATCTACTTGGTTGGCCCTGGCCCGCATTGCTATGCTCTGCAACCGAGCTGAATTCAAGGCTGGTGAAGAATCGAAACCTGTACTGAAACGTGAATGTAATGGTGATGCTTCGGAATCAGCTCTGCTCAAGTGTGTCGAGATGTCCATCGGTGGTGTCACTCAGTACCGCAAAAGGAACCCCAAGGTCATTGAAATTCCATTCAACTCTACCAACAAATATCAGGCAAGTTGACGACGGAGGCATCAGCTCTATTTTTGTTGTTGCTTCTATGTGTAGCTATCCACTTGGACAAGTGGCGTAGAGATTCTTCACACTCTTAAAGCTTTACATCTGTACTTCATGTTCCTGATTCAGTTAACCAGGACTGCTTACTGGGTTTAATCAAGCTGGTTTCAATAGTTCATTTAATCCACTTGAGAAAACATTGTTGGCCATGGCTGGCTTCAAACCACAGACAGGCTAGAGGGAAATTTTTGGTCTACTCTTTCTTGCCAGGGTTCTATTATTTCTGGAGAACAAAGATAACACCACTTCAGTTTTTTTCTTTGTTGGTACTACTAAGTGATGATTGTAGCTGCCAGGCAAAACCACGGGTCCGTATTCACTCTTGCGTGATTTTTTCATATTTATAACACCTAACATTTTAAAATTAGACCACACTTGCCTCCAACAAACATTTAATGTAATGTCCCCCCACCGGTTTACTAACCTTCATTGGTCTTGCCGATCGTGCCCTCTAGGTTTCGGTCCATGACACGGATGACAACGATGGTCGTTACTTGGTCGTCATGAAGGGAGCGCCAGAGCGTATTTTGGACCGCTGCAGCACCATACTAATCGATGGTCAAGATCAGGTTCTGGACGAAGCATGGAGGGAAAAATTCAACAACGCCTACCTCGAGTTGGGTGGCATCGGCGAGCGTGTCCTTGGTTTCTGTGATCTGCGACTCCCCGCTCAGGACTTCCCCAGGTAAGTGTCATCTCCACACATTAGTACACGTTATTTGAGGTCGGAGGAGGGGGAGAGAAAGGGGAGGTTGCGTTTGCAGCCTTTCCTCGCCCCCCCTCCATGGTGTCTCAGTCCCTATATCGTCCCGGGTAGCAACAACATTGCTGCTGTGTTTGCTGTCTTCCATTCTTCACTCTTTCCTTGCCGTTTTGTCTCATAGGGGTTTCGCCTTCGACGTGGAAACTCAGAACTTCCCCATCGATGGCCTGCGATTTGTTGGTCTCATGTCCATGATTGACCCGCCTCGCGCCGCCGTG